GCAAGAAATTCTTGGAGCATCTGTGAGTTGTAGGAAATGGTGCTATTGGTCCAATGGGTCTCTTCTTTTTATACTGCATTCCTATAAAAAGTGAGATGGAATCATATTGCCAGCAGAGATGTAAAATCAGGTCAGGACTGTTGCTGGTTATTTAAAGGTATTGCAATGCTTTTTGTAAGACTGAACATATTACATGCTGTATCTTGGCTAAATTCCATCTTTTAGAATTACATCCTCTTCTCCCATTCTCAAACATTTCTTGCTGTCACAAGAGGATGCAGCATTCTCCTTTCACCTGGTCTAGATGTCTGGGTAGCAGTGTTTCAACCTCATCGTGATCTCTCTGAAAGACAGATTCAAGCCGCCCAAGATGCAGCGTGATCTCTGCATCGTTCCCTGTGGCATTGCTGTGGATGGAGAGAAAGAGGATTTTGAAATTAGTACTCAGGCAGAAGTTCCATTTTTCTCCCTGCTTAAGTACAAGCACAAATCTGTTGGTTTGGCTTCCCCCACTGTTACTGTTTGCTACAGTATTATCACTCCCTGGAGCAGTGGGAGGCTTAATACTTTAAAAAGTACTTTGAGATCATTTTAGTCAAAATGCAAACCACCAGTATCCCATTAGTACTGGGAATGCTTTCAGAGCATTGACAAGCTTGTGCTTCCAGCTTGATGAGCTGGTGATTGTAGCCCTTAGATGGCATTTTGATAAGTAGAATCCAGGGGAGGGGATTGTTAGTATGTTAGCTGCTCGATGAACTGCCAAGATTGTACTGAAAGCAGACAAAGGGTGTGTGACTATAAACAAAAAAAAGCCCACCACCTGATACTATTTTGATATTGTTTTCTCTGTGGGTACAATGTTTTCTGGCGAGAAGTGCCCACAAGCCTGTTACTTGGAAACACAGGCAAATAGTACTATTCCACTAGACCAATTGTCTGGTCTTTGCAGTCTAGTAGCCAGCTGTGAGTGATAGTGGATATTTGGGAGCAGAGCCTTAGTGAAGATATCCACCAGTACACCTAGCCAGATGTACCATGCCAAAAACCATCACAAATGGCACTAAAGAGAGGTATCCCATTGCCGGTTTCCACAAGGACAAAATTAATTTGGCTAAGAAATGAAGCTACTATTTCTCATCTGGAACATTGACAAAGTGGACCGAGGGACTTGGGGAGAGGCTGATTAAGTTCACTGCAAGTGCTAGAACTACAAACTTTTTCCTGTGTCTAATAATTTTTTGTGGCGCTCATTCTGCATCATCTTAGAAGCAGCACTCTTGGTAGACTTAATTCCTCTTTCCTTCGAGGGTGCCAACCAGACTGATTCCTCATTGCTTTGTACAGAGTGAGGCACATAGTGGTTCAAACCAGTGCCATTTATCAGTAGTATCATCTCTATATGCTCACTTATACCCTCTTTGCTCAGCAGTATGGAATGCTTTACGTACCGCGCAGTGAATAATGACACTGTAGCTCCTTCCCTCCTTTTTGCTTCTTATTTTTCTCTAGTAAATACATGGGAGTCCGAACAGCAATAACATTTTTTTATAAGTACTGATTTCATATCTTCTCTTTGGTGAAATCCAGCTCTACTCATGCATTTCTTTGCAGAATTGTGCTCAAATTTCAGAGGAATGCCTGTACCAGAATAAGAAGGCAAAAGAACATGGTATGGGCCAAAAACCCTACGTCAACTTAATCTTGCCACTGCGGAGCTCTACAGCAGGTAGGACTTGGCAGTGCAGCAGTGTGTATATATTCCT